TTCAGAATACCTTTCTTTCCATTGACACTTTTGCACATAGATTATCATTCTTATTCTTGGCAGAAATGATCACATATCATCTTCATTCTTTCCTTTCATTCACATGCTATGGATTTTTGAATGTAAAAAAAAAAGTATTTAGAATCTGGGAAAGTCATAAGTACAAACACATGAGTACATGAAAACTTAAACACTTGTAATAAATTCCAAAGAGGAGAGCACAATGATGGAAAATGTAACATGGATCAAGTCCATAAGCATTTGGCAATTCAATCATTGAGGCAATTCAAAACAATGGAGAAGAGAATTTGAACAAATTATACTTGGAGATTGTAAAAAGAAAAAAATGACACTATATAGTCATTGTAAAATAATAGCTGAAAATATATAAAATTTATCTATTTTTTATTTTTTATGTTATATACAAAAATTATACAAGTTTTATACACTTTTTCGGTTGGTATATGTAAATAGTTTCTAGCGCGAGTTAAAAATGATAATACCCCTATAAAGAGTTTATGAAATCCAATTCTATGGGAAGAGTTTAGCTAAACATATCTTAATGAAGCTTTCTTAGGGTTCCTACTATGTTTCACTACTTGTAATGCTTCAATCTACATCAGAAAAGTTCAATTTAACCAACATTAGTGAGATTTTCTATGTTTTAAGCCATTTAGGTATTTTATCAGATGCTTATAGTGCATAACCCTACACTATATCTAGTAAAGGGGTTTTCTTTATCCCTCAACCCCCTTCTGTGACAATATTCAGACCGATAACCATCCTTAGATAGTAATTGACATTCAACAATACATGTATGATCACCCAACTACACCCAACCAACAACTACATCTAACAACCCATCTCCCAATTTTTTACAACACCCAACTCAAATTTGCAGACTTATGGTTTCCAATAACTATCCCATAAGTTCCAATACTCAAATTCTATATGCAATTACATTATTGAAGATTGCATGAGAGCTTGGGATGAATCCTTTCCCAATATGATGATTCACAGCCCAACATACAACAGCCCCTCTCAAAAGCAGCAGCAGCCCACAAACCACAAATAAACAGATGCAGATCTATTTGTATTTAAAGGGTGAGACCCGACCCAGTTGTACTTATATATATATATATATATAGATATATATAGATATATAGACACACACACACACAAAATAGTTAGATTTATTTAAGGACCAATGTTCATTTTATATCAAAATAACATATTCTCATATATTTCTCTCTCGTTTCTTCATTGTTCCCTTAGGGCTTTTCTTCTCCAGAAGGTTCTATGTTGAATCTGAATTCCAAATGTTTACATGGTATCAGAGCATGGTATCAGAGCCGACGTTCGTTAGCTCGTGGTCAAGTCTTCATCCGCCGTTGCTGTCAAATTTTGATTCAAAGTTTTTTTTGTGACGAAGTTGAGTTCTCTTCTCTCGGTCAATTTTCTGATTTAGGGCTTCGATTTCTTCATTTTGTTGATCATATTGGGTGCTGAGAGTTCAATCTTCTACTTAATTGTTTGTTTGAATAACTGATTCATCCATTTTGACAATTGATATATATTGAATCCCTAATTTTGTCAAAAATAATGATTGTATTTCGAATGTCACTAGGTCTTCTTCTGGTTCGACTGCTATGACAGTCGAGCCATCACATCCACTATATTTGTATCCTTCAGATTCTTCTGGAACCGAGATAGTGGCTACTATATTTAACGGTTTAGATTATGGAAGTTGGCGGGGAGGAATGCTCATCGGCCTCTTGTGCAAGAACAAATTGGGTTTGATTAATGGGTCTATTGTAAAGCCGAGTAAGGATTCTCCTTTGTAAGAGCCATGGTGTCGTTGTAACGACATGGTTATAGCATGGACTTTTTAAGCAGTTTAGCTTTGGAGATCAGAGAGAGTGTCATGTATACGGAATCTGCTGAGAAGTTGTGGAAGAAAATTGAACAACGTTATGAAAAGCCAAATGGAAGTAAAGTGTTCCAAATACGCAAGTAAATATCTTCTATTTCTCAGGAGTCTTCAAGTATAGCTTGATATTTCAATAGAATTAAGAAATTTGGGATGAATTGGCATTTTCCATTTCCTATCCTCCTTATGTGTGTGGGTGTGAGGAAGCTTTTCTAAAGCTGGAGGAGGATCAAAAGGTTCATCAATTTTGTATGGCGTTAAATGAGAACTATTCAAACATTAGAAGAAATATTCTCATGATAATGACATTGCCGGATATTGACAATGTGTATGGGATGCTTATTGAGGATGAGAGTCAAGAACTCCATTCCTTCTTTCAACTCAGAATCTACTTCTTTTTTGACTGCTGTTCATAAGTCTTATACTCAAACAATCAATTTTGATACCACTAAGAAGCCCAATTCCAATGTTGTATGCAAGTATTGTAAAAGGCCTGGACGCTCTATTGATAGATGTTATAAATTATATGGATATCCTCCTGGTTTTGGGAACAAATTTAAGAGAGTTGCTATTTATGCACAAGTGTCTGATACTCAAATGGTGGGACAAACTGAAGATTCAGGAACAAACAATTCCAAGGTGATTCCAACTGATATAGGAACTCATGTTCTCACCAAGGAGCAGTATGATCATCTCATCTCACTCCTTCAGCAGTCCAAGGTGTCCTCTTCTCCTCAAGACTTGGCCTCCGATTCTACAAATTTTGCAGGTCTGGTAAATTCTATTGATTTTAATTCTGGTGGTATTCTTGGTTGTAATGTCTCTAGGATAGAGAGTAGTGTTTGGATTATAGACTCTGGGGCTAATAATTACATGACACCCCACAGATATCTCCTTAAGGATATAAAACCTTTACTTTTTCCTTACCTTGTGAGTCTTCCTAATGGGTACAAGGTTAAAGTGACTTGCACTGGGGCACTTAGTATTTCTTCCGATATTTCCCTTCCTAATATGTTGTTTGTACCTTCTTTTCATTATAATCTGCTTTCTCTATCTTAGTTGTTGCATCACCTCACCAATTATGCCTTATTCACTTCAACTGATTGCATTTTATTGCAGAGCCCTTTTTTGAAGAAGCCACTAGTTCTTGGTAAACTTCAGAAGGGCTTATACCTCTTGCATTTAGATCAGTGGCGGATCCACATTGGCATTGGTGGGTGCTTAAGCACCCATTATTTTTGACTATGTGTAGTAAATTTGCATAGGCAATTATAAAAATATGTATATAAATAATAAGTGAGCACCCGCAATTAAACTCATTTTTTCTCTTTTTTTGGAATTTTTATTGATCAGCACCCATGACTTTAAAATCCTGAATCCGCCACTGATTCAGATAATCTCTCCCCCATTCATTCCTATGATTCTTTATTTGTAAATACCATTACTTCCATTGGTGATATTCTCAATAATAGCAGATTAAATTTCACTTCTGGTTCTGTTAATTCTTTGATTAATGTACCTGTTAGTAACGCATTTTCTGGCTTGTCTTTTGATCATGCATGGCACTTAGATTAGGTCATATTCCATTTGCTAAAATGAAATCCATGGCTTTCCTTTTTGACAAGTTACCTAAGAAGCAAACTTTTCTATGTCCTATATGCCCCATGGCAAGGCAGCAAAGACCTCCTTTTTCTGAGAGTACCATTCACTCAACTGTCCCTTTTTAATTGGTACATGTTGACCTTTGGAGACCTTATCATACACAAACATATAATAATTTCAAATATTTTATTGCTTTTGTAGATGACTATACCAATGCAACATGGACTCATTTATTGTCATCCCAATCAAATGCTTTCACCATACTTAAGTCTTTTGTGGTTATGATCTAAACTCAGTTTGGTTATCCTGTCAAAGCTTTTAGGTGTGACAATGTTTTTGAGTCAGGCAGTAGTTCTGAGGCAACCTCTTTCTCCTCTGCTCAAGGCATATTACATCAAACTTTGTGGTCACACCACCTCAACAAAATGATGTGGTAGAACGAAAACATAAATATTTGCTAGAAACGGCAAGAGTACTTCTTTTCCAATCTAACCTACCTATCAAGTACTAGGGTGAATGTGTACTAACTTCCACCTATTTAATAAACAAGTTTCTTTCTCCCTTATTACACCACAAATCTCCTTTTGAACTTCTACATGGTGTTCCTCTTTTTTTTCTCACCTTAAGGCATTTGGATGTTTAGCCTTTGCTGTTGTGCCAAAACCTCATAGAGATAAATTCAAATCCAGAACAATATCATATGTTTTCATTGGTTATAGTCCTGGGAAGAAAGCTTATAAGCTTCTGAATTTGTCCTCTTCTACTATTTTTCATTCTAGAGATGTAGTTTTCCATGAACATGTCTTCCCTTTCTCTGATTCTTCCTATGTTCATCTATTTTCTCCTTTCTCTTTTGATTCTGATCTTGCACCTTCTCCTATGAATAATCCTGACTCTTCTCCATATCCTCTCCCTTCTTCAACTTCTTTGCCTACTATTCCATCTTCTACTTTTATTCCTTCATGCACATTTGTTCCTCCTCTCTGAAGATCTCTCAGACTTCTTCCATGTGATCCCCATGTTCCTACTCTCAGAAAGTCCACCAGAGTTAATCAACCTCCTGGATATTTGGATGATTATGTGTGTACCTCTGTGTCTAATTCTAAACCTACTTTTTCAATTCCCGAGTCTTGTATGCTGGAACCTCAGTTTTATCATCAAGTAGTATCCAATAATGCTTGGCAGGATGCAATGGTTAAAGAATTTCAGGCCTTGGAGGCTAAAAACACTTGGACTGTTGTACCTCTTCCTCCAGGGAAGAAGGCCATTCCTTGTAAATGGGTGTATAAGATTAAACAAAAGGCTGATGGGCTCTATTGAACGGTATAAAGCTAGACTAGTCTTTAAGGGGGACAGTTAACATGAAAGTATTGATTTCACTAAAATATTTTCTCTTGTGGTAAAACTGCTTACCAATATCAGATGTTTATTGTCTATTGTTGTGACAAGAATTTAGACTGTTTTCCAAATGGATATTAATAATGCATTTTTACATGGGGATTTGGATGAAGAAATGTTTATGAAGCTCCCTCCTGGTCTAACTGTGCAATCTGATTTTCCTACCTCTTCATCAACTCTTGCTTGCAAGTTAAATAAGTCTCTTTATGGACTGAGGCATGCCTCAGGGCAATGGTATGCCAAATTATCATCAGCTCTTCAATCTAAAGGTTTTCATCCTAGTCTCAATGATTACTCTTAGTTTACTAAGTCGGTTAATGGATCTTTAATTGTGATTGTTGTGTATGTTGATAATATTCTAGTTGCTGGGATAATTTGACCGAAATTAACAACCTTAAACATTTTCTGGATAGTGCATTTAAGATTAAGGACCTTGGGGAAATTCATTATTTTTTTGTTTTAGAAATTACTAAAGAGCATTCTGGTTTTCTCATTAGTCAACATAAGTTTATTATGGTTATGCTTTCTGAATTTCACTATTCTGATGTCTCCTCTGTGGTGGCTCCCCTTGATCCACATGTCAAATTGTATGCTGAATTTGGTGATATTTTGCATGATCGTTCTATGTACAGACGACTTGTGGGGAAACTCAATATCTTCAATATACTAGACCTGATTTGTCTTACACTTTTCAACATTTAAGTCGGTTTATGTCAACACCTAGAGTTCCTCATTTAGATGCTGCTTTGCACATGTTTCGATACTTGGCTGGTACTTCTTGCTTAGGTTTGCGTCTTTCTGCTGCTTTTGATTTTTCACTTTAAGGTTATTGTGACTCTGACTGGGCTAGTTGTAGTGATTCTAGAAAGTCAATTAGTGGCTTTATTTTATTTCTTGGTGGGTGCCCCGTCTCTTGGAAATCCAAGAAACAACCTACTATTGCATTTTCTTCTACTGAGGCAGAGTATAGAGCATTACGATTGTTGGTTGCTGAGATCACCTGGATTCTGTGGTTGCTTGGTGAACTTGGGATTTCTTCTCTCACACCTGTTGATGTATTCTGTGAACAATCAAGCAGCGGTTCATATTTGTAAGAACCATGTGTTTCATGAACGGACTAAACACATCAAATTAGATTGTCATTTTGTGTGCAATGCTCTGTCTGTTGGGGTCATCAGTCTTTATTCCATTTCAACTACTTCTCGATTGGTTGATATCTTCACTAAGTCTCTTCTGGAGATTCAACAGCAGGCCTTTATTTCCAAGCTTGGAATAGGTTCCCCTTCCAGCTTGGAGGGGGGGTGTCAGAGCCCAATATGATGATTCACAACCCAATATACAACAGCCCGTCTCAAAGCAGCAGCAACCCACAAACCACAAATAAGCAGATGCAGATCTATTTGTATTTAAATGGTGCGACCCAGCCCATATGTACTTGTAAATATATATATATACATAATAGTTAGATTCATTTAGGGACCAAGGTTCATTTTATATCAAAATAACAGATTTTCAGATATTTCTCCCTCGTTTCTTCATTGTTGCCTTGGGGCTTTTCTTCTCCAGAAGATTCTACTTCGAATCTCAATTCCAAATGTTTACATTACCTTGCTAGCCAAAGACCTTGTAAGTTTCTCCCCTCGAATCTCCAAGAGTCGAGTAAGAAATTAAAGTGTAGAAGTGTTGGATCTCCTTCCTCTCTCTTGGATTGTTCTCTCTCTCAAAATAGATAAAATTTTCCTTCTAAAACTTCATCCTGGCCTTTTTATAGAAATAGAGTCGGATAAAAATATTTTCAAAGATGCCCCTCCGAATCAGATTTGCAATCTTGAAAAGGATTGTATATCGCCTATGCGGTCCACGAAATGGTCCTCCAAAATTTTGAAATATACTGGTCGAATATGCGACGGATATGTGGTCCGCACTTCTATTTTGCGGTCCACCCATTGGACCGCAGATTCTCCTTCAAAATCCCCCAGGTGGCTTGACCATTTTTGCGACGTATTGCGACCCACGAAACCGCTATATAGTTCGCATCATCCACCGCGAAATGACTCCCCGAACACTGGCACGCTTCTGACTCATTCTGCGACGGTTTTGCAGTTAGCGAAGCTGGTTCGCGGTACGCATTATTGACCGCAGAATCATCCTCTTGAGCTGGTTCTTCTGCACACTTTGTGACGTATTGTGCGGTCCACAAATACGTACCTACAACCTTCCGAACATCTTAGTTTGTCCTTGACACTATACAATTTTAGATCCGTGACGAACTTTTACGGAGCCTTACATTATTATTTATAACCCGATATCGAACCAATCGATGTTTTATCGGCTGGTTGGCGGATTAGTACATTAAAAAATTAATAATTGGTAAGCTGAATAATCGTTAAACATAAATATCACGTTGATCTGCCCGATTAGCAGGCCTACCTAATTAATATGGACACTTCAATGGAGATTCGTCAATCGTTCTATATGCTAACTAAATTTAGAGTAATCATGTGAGATGAAGTGCCAAAAATAATATTTTGTCGAGATTTGTGGATGCAATATTGAAGATGACATGGAAAGAACAACACCAACTTACCAGGAAGGAAAGAAATTGTTGAAACTCTACCTCAGAAGAGAAGATGAATAAAAAGTTGCGAGAGATCTATAAGATGGTTATGTAACAAGGTCTGAATGCAAGATTAGATGCTTCCTTTAATGATCCAATTATTCCCTATAATGAAGAACATCTTTCTTCCTTTAATGAGTAAATTTTGTTAATTGAACTTTGTGTTCATTAAGTAAAATTGACTTTTCTTCTTTTTGTTACGTAAAAATTATTTAACTTTGTGTTCATTATCCAAAAAATATTTTTTTTCTTTTGTTACATAAAAATTATTTTACTTTGCTCTATTTATCACAAAAGACACTTTGACCATATTTTATACTTTTACTTGAAAAGTTTATTATGTCCTTGATATTACTAATCCTTCCATTTATGTAATACTTTCTATATTATATACTGTATAATATGTTTTTACCTAGGTATTTTACTTATAATTAAAATAACTTTAAATTATTCTATTTATTATTTTTATAATATATCCATATATTTAATTTTTCCATGGCACTCAATTTGTTTAACAATATTCAAACATGAACATATTTTAAATATAAAATAATAAAAAATATTTATTTTAAATAATAAAAACATATTTATTTAACAAATGATAGTTTTTTATAGTCAATAAAAATTTTAAAAGATGTTTCAAAGATATTTGTGTTTAATATTGTCACGACAAGTTCTCCCTCCGTGAACTGTCGTAACGACACCTAGTCTCTACGATTAGGTAAGCCTAACATTTGCGGAAAATGAAATGAAAACATGAAAGCTAACAACTAATAGGTAAATCTTAAAAAGAAGTTAAGATGTCGCTCGGCATATACAATAATCACTCTCGAAATGCATATAAACTCTCCCAAAATTCGGAATATCGTAAGTCACAAATTACAGAAAGAAAACGGTATTTAAATACTCTAGAGTCTAACAAAAGAAAATACAAGAAGTGTTTGACATGGAAAAGAGTAGATAAGGACTCCGAGGTCTGCGGACGTGACAAATATACCTTGAAGTATCTACAGCTGGCTCGAGTTTATATTCGTGAGATTATCAGACTTCATGGCGTGCCGGTATCTATCATCTCTGACCGGAGACACCGTTTACATCACAGTTCTGGAGAGCCGTACAACATGAGTTGGGTACTCGGGTGGAGTTGAGCACAATATTTCACCCTCAGACGGACGGATAGTCCGAGCACACTATTCAAATTCTAGAGGATATGCTTCGTGCGTGTGTGATGGAGTTTGGAGGTTCTTAGGATCAGTTCTTGCCACTTGCGGAGTTTGGCTACAACAATAGTTATCAGTCTAGCATTCAGATGACACCGTATGAGGCTATGTATAGTAGGTGGTGTCAGTCCCCAGTAGGTTGGTTCGAGCCGGGCGAGACTTGATTATTGGGAACAGACTTGGTTCAGGACGCTTTGGAAAAGGTTAAAGTGATTAAGGATAGACTTCGCACAGCCCAGTCCAGACAGAAGAGTTATGCGGACTGAAAGATTCGCGATGTTGCATTCATGGTTGTAGAGCGGGTCTTACTCCGGGTTTTGCCTACGAAGGGCGTTATGAGGTTTGGAAAGAAGGGCAAGCTGACCCCAAGGTTTATTGGTTCCTTTGAGGTGTTGCGGTGAGTTGGGGAGGTTGCTTATGAGCTTGCCTTTCCTCCCACTCTAGCAGGAGTTTATCCGGTATTTCATGTTTCTATGCTCCGGACCGTCTCACGTATTGGATTTCAGCTCAGTCCAGTTGGACAAGGATCTATCTTATGTTGAGGAGCCAGTGGCTATTTTGGACAGGAAGGTCCGAAAGCTGAGGTCAAAGAACATTGATCAGTGAAGGTTCAGTGGTGGGGTCACCTGATCGAGGACGCGACTTGAGAGACCGAGCAGGATATGCACAACCATTATCCTCATCTTTTTACCACTTCAGGTATGTCTCTATGCTCGTTCGAGGACAAATGATTGTTTTAAGAGGGGGAGGATGTAACGACCCGATAGGTCATTTTGAGAGTTATAATCCCAATCCCCTATTAACTACTTTCCCCGTATCTATTTCTGCTATTGTGACTTGCCGAGATGTTTCATTTTGGTTCTTGGAGTGTTTTAGGACACTTAGTCCCTAAACGGAGGCTTAAGTCTTAGAATTTGGACCGTAGTCGAAACTATGTGAAGACGACTCTGAAATGGAGTTTCATCGACTCTGTTAGCTCCGTTGGGTGATTCTGGACTTAGGGGCATATTCAAATTGTATTTTGGAAGTCTGTAGCTTATTTAGGCTTGAAATAGCGAAAGTCGATTTTTTGGAGATTTTGATCGGTAGTGGAATTTTTGATATCGGAGTCGGAATCTGATTCCGAAAGTTGTAGTAGGTCTATAAAGTTGATTATGACTTGTGTGAAAAATATGGGGCCATTCAGACGTGATTTGATCGGTTTCGGTATCGGTTGTAAAAATTTAAAGTTTCAAGTTCTTTAAGCTTGAATTGGAGAGTGATTCGTGATTTTAGCGTTGTTTGATGTTATTTGAGGGTTCAACTAAGTTCATATGGTGTTTTAGGATTGGTTGGTATGTTTGGTTGAGGTCCCCGGGGCCTCGGGTGAGTTTCGGATGCTTAACAGGTCATTTTTTGGACTTTGGGAGTTAGCAGATTTTCTGGTGTTTTGTTGCAGACATTTCCTTCATCGCGTTCGCGAGGGAGGTCTCACGATCGCGTAGAGTACCTGAGAGACCAACTAAGGTTGTTCTTCGCGTTCGCAAATATGACGACATGATCGCGTATAGTTATCAAACTGCGCATCGCGAACGCGTGGGCTAGGACACGTTTGCGTAGAGGAAGTGAGGCAGCAGTCGAGTTAAGTATTTCTCTTCACGATCGCCTGAGGACAATCGTGAATGCGTAGGTGTGAGCAACCAGTGCGTCGTGTTTGCGTGTGGTGTTCCGCGTTCGCGTAGAGTTAAATTCTGGGGAAAACGAAGTTGTTCTTCGCGATCGCGAGGCTATTTTAGCGATCGCGATTAAGGAATCACTCGACAATATTAAACATTTCAAAAATGAGGGTTTGGCCATTTTTATCAAATTTGAGTTTGGGAGCTCGGAATTGGATGAGATTTTGAGGGATTTTTAGAGACATCGATTGGATAATGATTCTACACTTGATTTTAGTTATATCCCACTAATCTATCATTTAATTTTGGATTTAGGTGAAAATTGAAAAAAATGGGAAGAAGTTCTTCAACTAAGATTTTGAGTTTTGCTTGGGATTTTGACATCGGATTTGGATACTTTTGGTACGAGTAAACTCATGAGTGAATGGGTGTTCATAATTTGTGACTTTTACCCGATTTCAAGACGTGGGCCGGGGAGCCTTTTTCGGCGATTTTTTCAATTTCTTGCTTTACCTTTGATTTCATTAGCTAGATTAGTTTCTTGCAGTTATATTTATGTTATGTAATTGATGTTTACTAGATTTGGGCGATTCAGAGTTAGA